ATATATATTGTGGTCATAGCTCCCATGGCCACTCTCTTGGGTCCACTCTGTTCCCTCCTTGGAATTTTCCTCAGATCCATGTTCATGGCTTTTCCAAATGTCTGGGGTCTCCACTCCATCTTTGGCTTCACACTCACAACTTCTCACATTTACCTTCTCAGTGGCATACTGCCTGGACTCCCAGGCCTTTTTCTGTATTGTGAATGGAAACCTCTCTGACCACACAACTCTGGCATTATTCATACACCTACGCCAGCAACACTCATATAACACCAAGGTCTACTGCCAGCTGGACCAGAAGCCAAAGTTCCTTCTCTCATTGCTATAACAGTTGAACGCCTGTGAACCAAATTCTGAGGAACCACTTCCCTAGGCTGCAGCCATCCTGAAATATGGTGCTCTGGGGCTCTTTTCCCAAAACCAAGTCACTTTGCAATTTTGAGGTTGCAAAGGATGGAGTTCTATTGCTTCTTTCAATACGCTCAGACCATCTTTTGTTTTGCCTTCTGAAATATTTAGCTTTTTGTTGCTAGTCTTTTCAGAAAACAATTTCATCTCTATTCCATCTTTGCAGGCATAACTTTACTGGAGCTTCTTTTCTGGCCAAACTTAAAATGTTTTAAATGATTCTGCTGGGCATTTTTCTCTTCATTACCAGCATAAATATGGCTAAAAGCCCCCAACAGTAACCACATGACAGCCTCAATATTAGCCTGCCATGAACATTTTTGCCAGATTAATTAGTCCATGACCCTTAATCTCAGTCTCAGGCAAAGTCTCTGGACAGGAGTAAAATACACACATGCTTTCTGGCAAAGCATAACACACATTATCTGGAATCAACAGCCAATGCAATCTTTCTTCCCAACAGAAACTTTCTAAACCTGGTATTTACTAGCTGATGCATTCTGTTCTTCTGAGCTGTGACCAGAATCTCCCATATAAAGTAGCCCAAGGCATTCTAGCTCAATTTTTTTTATCTAACATCTTCAGATATTTCCAAATCCTTCCCACAAGCCAGACCAAAAAGCTCCTAAACCACAAGATCAGGTGTAGTCACAGCAACAACCCCTCTTGTCTGGTACCAAATTCTGTGTTATTTACTTTTCTCACTGTTAAGACAAAATACCCAACACCTAAAGTTAAAGGAAGAAAGGTTTATTTAGCTCAGTTTGTAGTGGGTTCAGTGGATGGCTTCAGGGCAGGGTAAATGGCAGACAGGTATTGCAGAGGAAAACCAGGTCATAGCAAGCAGAAGATAGCAAAAGCAAACAAAGAAGAGACAACCACAGCTCTTTTTATCCCTTATGTCTGATCTAGGCTACTTAGGGTAGCCTAGAGCCCAGCTTGAGCCCAGCATTACACCTTGAATCAGTCACATACTCCAGATCCAGTCACCTCTGAAAAAGCCCCACTTATGACCACTCAAGGCTTTAGGGGAACATCTAGACACAAGCACCCTTGACAAATCTGGTTCATTTCCCTCTTGTGTGTCTTTCCAGTGAGGGAGTTGACCTGATTGATGACCCTGTGATCAAGAGGATTGCAAAGAAGCATGGCAAGTCTCCTGCACAGGTATTGGGCAGGGCTGTCCTGTGCTGCCAGTATCCTCTCCATGTCTTTTTCTCTTGCAGCACAAAGTGTTAGGAAAATGACTTCAATTTGATTTCATGTGATTTTCTTTTATGTCACATAAACTTATTTTTTTCCTTTCTCCTGCAGATTTTGATTCGATTTCAGATCCAGAGGAATGTGATTGTGATCCCCAAATCTGTCACCCCACACCGCATACAAGAGAATATCCAGGTGGGTGTTTTTCTTTTATACTACAGATTTAGAATATATGTTAACTGCAGAAAGAAGCAGTCACTGGAGCTCTGTGACCTTGGCACAGCCAGGGACTGTTTCTCTATGTTATGTTGATCAACCTTTCACACAGTGATTCTTGCATCAAGGACACCTTCTTGTCCAGCATTTGTATCTTCTCCTTTCAACCTAAGATGGCGGAAAAGGGAGAAGGCAAAGGATACCAGTGGCTTGTCCTGAAGGCAGAGGCTCCCATCACAAGTGCTGGCCAGTGCCTGCTCTTCTGCCCCAGAGCTAGGAGGATGGCTGTCCCATATTTATTCTAGCCTTAGCTTTAGGGACTCTTCTAGAACAGATGACTTCAAATTACTATTCTGCCCACCACCTAGTCAAAATTCCTGTTTATCTTGTGTAACTGATTTCTCCTGGCTTCAGAATCTCTTGTCTTGTGGAACACAGATGTTAGGGTCCCATGACTCTCTTACACTTTGCAGGGTGCATTAGCATCACTTGATAATCTCTTCCTTCCCTGCACTGATTCAGCCCCTCCCAGGAGTGGTGACACCCATTCCAAAATGTCATTATTGTGGGATGGATCATTGTTCTTGAGAAAATTAGGGGGAAAAAAGAAAGGAAGGGGTTAGAATAGTAGTAGTAAATGAACAAATATGAATTACTTGGAAAAATGTTTCTGTGACACAGATCCACTAGAGCTCAAGATTTTAGGGACCAAGTATCTTCCTAGTTGAGGGATATATGGAACAGTGGTTTATCTTTGGTAAGAGAAAGTGGGTCAATGAAAAAAGGTATCTGC